CTGCCAGTGCCCCTCACTCCCAACCCACAGCCCCCTGCCCCTCCTGCCCTGCCAGTGCCCCTCACTCCCAACCCACAGCCCCCTGCCCCTCCTGCCCTGCCAGTGCCCCTCACTCCCGACCTGCAGCCCCCTGCCCCTCCTGCCCTGCCTGTACCCCTCACTTCTGACCTGCAGCCCCCTGCCCCTCCTGCCCTGCCTGTACCCCTCACTTCTGACCCACAGCCCTGCTGCCCATGCAGCTTGCATGCGCGCACACACACACGCACTCTCTCTCTGTCTCTCCTGTCACCTTGCCCCACTGCTCCCAGCCCCAAGCATCCAAGCTGGAAGTGCAGGGGAAAAGTGGAGGCAGAGCAAAAACCCAGACATTTGCTCACATTTTAAAAACCCACTCAGACAGGAGGCCAAAAAAGAGGACACGTTTGGGAAAACCCAGATGTATGGTAACCCTAGAATGGGATTGATGGCAGGTCTTAGCGCCCCTGTCAGCCCCTCACAGAGCAGGGAGAAGGAGCCAAAGGGACCCAAGGTGTAAATCCAACCTCAGCAGAACTGCAGGGGCTGCATCCCTGAATGGACTCCCACTGCCGCCCTCTGAGCAGCCCCTTAGCACAGCTCACACAGCTCCACACCAAGGGCTGGTTTCTGCCCCAGGGCAAGGTCCTGGAGCTGATGAAATCAGCAATCCTGTACCATGTGGCTTCCAGCATCACTGCCCCCTTTCCCAGCTGAATGGCCCAGGGGATCCCCCTTGCTCCTTCCAGCCAGGGGATGGCCTTGTCCCATGCAGGAGATTCTAACTGGTCCAAGGTGGGTTCAGCCCTGGCAAAGCAACAGCTCCTTGGATACTCCCCAGACCAGGCTGGAGATGGGGCTCCCTGCTGCAGAGATGTGGGGGGAGTTGGGAGGGATCAGGGCTCTGCAGAGCCAGGGGATGTGGCTGGGAACACGGCCCCAGCATTCACAGCTGTGCAGCTGAGAGGACCCTGGGCTATGGAAGGGCTGGGATGCATGGGTTACCTGGACTGGAGCAGACTCATATCCACAGGGAGGTCAGAGATACCATCAGCAGCACCAGGAGACCTGCCACCATATAGTGCACAGCCTCCTGCCTGCACCAGCTGCGAGGGGCTGGGGAGGAAGGTGACAGCAGAGAGCCCGCAAGAGGAATTGAGACCACCCAGTTTGCATCTTGAGCCCTTCAGACTGCAGTTCTTGGGATTCCTGAGCCCCGCCTCCCGCACCAGGATCCAGTCTTGTCCCTCAGAGGAGGAGGCTGGAGCCCATGTGTGTCTGGGCCTTTTCCTGGGGACCAGAGCTGGAGGGTGGAGGTTTGCCCAGGATCAGCATCAGCCCTGCAGAGCCCACCATGCCCCTCGCCCCCCACACACGCATTGCTCACTATAGAGGCTCCCATCACTCCCTGACTCTTCCTTCCTGCCTGCTGCTCTCTGCTTTGCTGCAGAGGTGATGTCATTTGATGGCAGGCAAGGTGCACACACAATAAAAGGGAGTGGCTGACAGCACAGGACCTTTCCTCCTTCCTGAATATCTCTGCTAATGGGAAAGGGCCCCAGAGGAACACCTACCTTCCAGTTCTGCAGCTTGGCAAGTGATACACAAGGTTGTCATTGCACACGCGGGGCTGGGATCCTTGTTCCAGTGGAATAAATGAGAGTTTGTCCCTTCAGTGAAAAGCAGCCAGGGCATCGCACATGCACTGTAGAAGCTATCGGCAGTTTTTGTCCTGGGAGCTGGCACAAAACTAATCACATGCAGGATACATGGCATGTCTGATAACGCTATTGTCAGATAAGTTGAATGTGACCTCATAGGTGTTGCCCACCCCACTGGCCCAGGGGATGCAGAGGCAATGGATGACTGTTAAGGATCCATCACTGGCTCCTAGCACGTGTGGCAGCCCCTGGGGCTGGCTCCTCTCCAGGAACATGCTAGGATACCGGCAGGAGGATGGAGATGCCCCAGATCACACAGGTCAGATGTCCTTGGCTGTGCCCTCCCCTGCAATGGGGACCAAGAGCAGCACAGACCTGCTGTTGGTGAAGCTGTCTGTGCAGACAAGATGCTGAGAAATCAAGGGGAGACAGAGCTGAGCTGCAGCCCAGCCAGAGCTGTGGGTCTGTCCCTGAGAGATTAACAAAGATAAAAGCCTACTGGGGAATAAGAAAACTTGCCATGCCCTACCCAGCTGGAAGAAAGGAGCCAGCCCAATGCATGGCCGTCCTAGCCAGAAGAGAGCCGGGCAGCCTATTAAAGGCAGCACTAGCAGCTTTGGGAGTTCACAATATTCTCACCCGCCGTCACGGCTCGGAGGGAGAAACATTCCCAGCCTGGCTGCACAGACCTGCCCCACAGAGACCCCAGCACTTCCCCTGTGGCACTTTCCCCTGTGGAAAAAAAAGCTGCATAGCCCGTTCTCTCTTTGCCCCCAGCAGCTGATACTCAGTCCATTTTACTTGATTAAAAACGCAGCTTCTTTTCAGCTATTTACTCTTCTACGTTCTTACAGTTTCTTATTACTTTCTAATGGAACGTGAGCAATGGGACACTCAGCTATTCTAATGAAAGAAGCAATGGGTCGTTACCTCCAACAATCACCGTGGTTCCACTCCCAAAAGCCAGGCTGCTGGTGGCGGATCTTGGACCTGGATTTAATTAGCGCCTAATTACACACTTAATTAATGGTTGTTTCCTATGTCCAGTGTCCAAAGGGGTTGGTTTTTGGCCCTGGGGTGGCTAACGTATTAACCAGGGCGTTTCTAGTCACCACCCAGTTAATCCGGCAATTAATGACACTATGACTAATAAGAACTTTCGCACAAATGTATAAGGTCTAACGAATTAAATGGTTTATTAAGTAGTAAATAGGAAAATAGATAACAGATAAATAATAAGTCACAAGCACAATCCCTTATTTAACTAACAGCTCCTAACCACCATGAATAATCCTAACAATCCCATTTAAACCTATTGAAAAATATGTTTATGATAATAATACCCGTATCTATCTAACTACCCTCATGTTATAGTATGAGTCTCTTTTCCCACAACTTTAAAAGACCCAGATGGGCTTAAGCTAGACCCGGACAACGATGGACTGTAAAACTTTATTAAAGGAGAGGAGAGACTTTATTAAGCTCATAGTATTGTCTTCTCCGGCTATACAAGTGTAATCTGCACCCCAGATAGCCACTCGGTGGTGAATCTGGGAGAACGCAGAGCCA